GCACAGTTCTTAAGAAGTCGCCCAATGATATTATCTGGGCCTGGACTTTTCCTTTCTTTCACTCCCCTGAAGAGTTTAAAAACACAGTCTTTATCAATATGTATCTCCAATTGTTGTGGAGAAGCATTCTTGTACACAGACAGTTCTTCATTAAAATCATGTGAGTTAAAACGATTAAAAAATAATCTATGGTGTAATGAGTTGGTAAGTTTTCTTACTTTGTGTCTGAGGGTCCAGGTTCTTTACTGAAGTTTGGATTTTCACCTTTGGACCGATCACTCTTCAGGGACAGACAGCTGGGTACAGGAGACTCTGCTCCGTCCTCCTCGTCCTCTAAACACACGTCCATGTTCTGATCTGAAGTCTGAGAGGAAAAAACAGAAACACTGACTGAAAGATCAACAAACAAGAAACAAGAAAAACCAGTTTGATCACACACACACACACACACACACACACACACACACACACACACACACACACACACACACACACACGTCATATTAATCTAAGTCGAAACTCTGTGTTCACAGGAGAAAACTGAGACTAAAGAAGTGAAGATATAAAAACTCTGGATAAACACTCACCCCGCTTCACTCTTCAGTTCTCTGCTGCTGTCAATTTGAAATGGAGTCTTCACTGACTGAACACTTTTACCGTCCCGCCTCCTCTCATGATGCTGGATCATGAGGTTAGTGTTGCTCCTCCCCCCTCAATTTACAGGAAATCAGCTGGGTCTGATTTCCAGTGGTCTGAATCTAGTGTGTGCGTTCAGAGGATTATAATGTTAAATAATGAGAGGGAAGGTACACTGACAGAAATGCTAAGCACTCCAGGCTACGGGACTTCCGTCTGCCAGGATTTTGAACTTGTCAGGCCCGGGGCAGAGGGCTCTCTGTGGGTGACGTGTCAGTGTTTGATGACAGGGAGAATGTTAAACTGTAGCAAAGAGATGAGTAGCAAGTTCAACCCGGACACCGGGGATGGCGAAAGCACCAAGTGTCAGGCTGGTAAAGCGGGTGCAGAGGGATGAGTTGCAGCTCATAGTCCCAGAGCTAGCACTAGCTCCGGGCATTCCGGGGCTACAGCCACAGACCCACACTCGGCTCTCGTCCCCGATGTCAAAATCCCGGTCGGACTCGCTTTATCTCCGCGTTTCAGTAACATTGAAGTTATTCTGTGACCCGATACAACTTCCCTATCTAAACAGAACTTTCTGATCCTAGCTGTCTCTCTTACTCTACCCCGTAGGCTAAATAAACAGTTCCACAGCGCCCCTACAGGCCTGGAGCACTTCCGTTTAAGGATTAACTTGCAGCGTTTCTGTGTTTGCTGTTGTTTTCTGGTTGTGTGTGTTTTGACTTAAGTTTCGTTTCTGTACTTGCAGTGCGTTTGATGCTTATGCAGTTGTTTTGCCTATTTGCAGCGCGTTTGTGTCTTTGCAGCGCGTGTCAGCCTTTGCATTTGTTTTGGTAGTTTGCATTTGCTTTTGAATGTGCAGCGTTTCTATATATGCTGCACGTTTTTCTAAATGTATGTCGTTTCATCAGTTGCTGAGCGTTTGACCCCTTCCGGCCACCGTAGTGTTGGCCTTGTGTACAAAATGTGTCTGACAGACTTGTAAATACCTGTGGTGGCTTTGCTTTTAGGTATTTTTGTGTCAATTCAAGTTGAGTTTGTATGTTGACTTCCTTGAAGTCTTTTGTTTTGACCAGTTTGCATAATAAAATACACACTTTAAGTCTATTGTTGTGATTGCATTTAGTGACTGTAGTTGTACTGGTAACGGTTATAACAATTAGTAATTGTGTGCATTACTCCCACTGATTTTTTTATTCTATCTTCTTATTTATATTTACATAATAACCAAAACATTATCCAGGTTTCAAGATTCAAGCCATTGCCATTGGGCAGAACAATGAAAATGTAAAATATCTCCCTGAGCATTGTCATGCAGAATATACCAAAGGTAATAAGAAAATAGGATAATATATTAAGAAGGAAAAGCTAAAGAGATCAAGATAAAATAGTTATTTATTAGAAAAACACTGACAGTCTATACAAATACAATCAAAAGCACGTTTTGGCACTTATTTACACATTCAGCTGCTTGAGGGGGGGTGGGGGGTGGGGGGTTGGGGGTTCTTCACCATCCTGGAGCTTTGTTATGATGGACCTGAGCTCTGATGATGCACAGCTGTAGATACAGGCAGACAGAAAGATTAGGAGCAGCTTCTCCCTGTGAAATGTAGTCGTAGTCTCTTTCAAGGCGTTCACACTCCAGCTCTTTGATTTTTATTGCAGCAACTTCAGGACCTTGGACAATAATATCATTTTGTATTAGAGTGGTTTCCTATTTTCAAAACTGTTTAGGTAACAGCAACAATACATTTTTATGTTAGATAACTGTAATACTAAATACTTACATCTTGTTTCCATCACGGTTTCGAGCAGGAAGTCGGGGGTTCTGGTGGTTATAATCAGTAGCTGTAAGCAAGGTCAGTGTTCTGTATACAGGTGTGACCATACTGCTTCTCTGCATACATGAGGGTGTGCTTTTGTTCTCCAAATCTGAAGTTGTCTGTTGGGTCTGTTGGGTAGAAAAGGCAGACAGAAAAAAACCTGCTTTGTTAGTGACATACTTCTCACATCCACTTCATACTGCACCAAATAACATAAAGGTGAGCAGAGTCCTCAGCTTGAAAATCAGCTGGAGAGCTAGAAAGAGTCACAATATAAATGCAGAGTGTGTCATTTCAAATAAATGTTGTAATGGTCCTAAATCACAATGATACAGCCATTGTCGATGTGAAAAAGTGCAAATGTGTTTGTATAAAAATAATTACAATTACAAGGTGTCCAGCTGCTCAGTGGGTAGGGACTTGGGCTCTGCTGTGCTCCCTGTGTAGCAGTCCCACTCTGACACCTCTCCACTAATGCATGTCCACAGCTCCTGTGTGTGTGTGTGTGTGTGAGAAGCAGCGTTAGTTTCAACAGCAACATGAGGGCAAAACTTTTCACCGGTGACAACGTTTGCAGAAGCGCTGCACAGATAAGTAGCAGCCGGAGCTGACGTAACCTGAACCCGGCCACGAGAGGCGTTTGCACTTGCGCTGTCCTGTTGCTAGGTGGCGCTGCAGCCCGCTGCCTACACGGCTGGTTGTTGTGCTGCATGTGTAAGTCTGTTTCATGTTCATGTGATTTTAAGGAGAGATCAGACACATTGATATTAAGTAAGGAAAGGGTTAAATTAATGTAAAGAAAGAATCCAAAGGGAGGATCTCAAACAGCAGAGGTGCAGCTGCAGGTGTTACATTAATGGTGCAATTGCGCCCTCTGCTGGATCCACAGAGGTTTAGCATTTTTCAACTAGTATCTGATTATTTACAGTCAATGCTCCATCCACTATCAACATGACAACACGAGGCATCACAACAGCAACAATATAAAGTCAAATCAACTTAATCTGTGTCAGGATGGAGATGAGTTTGAGTTCCTCCTCATAACAAACGTCTTATAGGACAAGTCTGTCGGCCTCTTCTGTCGGGACTGCACCAACGGAAACACCTACAATTGATGTTCACTTTTGACAGCAATGTATTTTTTCAATGCGGGTCCTTGAGGGTCAACTTTTTTTAGACACAAGTCGGGGGGCTCCATTAAAATGCGTTGGGATCCCCTACTTCCGGGTCTCTTAAAACTGGTGATGCCTTTAAGGACCTGCTATGACACTTTCAGAAATGCTGCTCTAGCTCCTCCTCTAAACAAGGACCAGGTTCAAGCAGGGGGGCGAGCATCTGGCCCCCTTTATTCTCCTCTCAACCGCCTTAATTACATGACACAATGGCGATGAGATCTAAAAATCTTGGGCGCCAAGTAGAAATAAATGAATACAGATTAAATGTTAGTTTGAACACCCACTCTGCTGTGCTCTGCTCACACCCACAGACGTCGCGGCTGAAGACTCCTTGGACGAAGACTTCCGTCGCCGCAGGCAGAACGCACTCCCTGGAATCGCCCTGCACCAGCGCTACCTGAGGAACTCCGCCCAAAACCCCTCGGAGGAAGAGGAGGAGCACGGCCTACAGAGTCTGGGACTAACAAGAGGTTCGCCCACCCGCCTATTTAGGGGCTGATTAATTACCCGCACACGGCTCCCCTTTAAAGACATGCATACCTCCCTACTCGTACAGCTCCTCAGAAAACATGTTTTTAACTTCTACTGCAAAATGAAAGTAAGAGTTTAAAGGTCAGTCTACCTGTGGTGGTTATGACATCACTGCTAGTAATAATATCGGCTATGGAGAAAATGAACAAGGTTTTTACTTCCTGAACCACACTGTTGAGCACTTGTCTTTCCATTACTTCCTACTTAAAAAAACAGCTGATTTGACCTGGGACCCGTTTACAAGCTCTGAGTCCCGAGTCCCCACAAATATCTATAAATCACTAATATGTCCCGGGTTTAACCAAAACAACACACCATGCTAACAACACTGATTTGTCTTTAAATATGTCAATCAATGCCGTTGCCATGGCTGCTGCAGTTTTAACCAATAGCAGTGAAGAGAAACACCAAGCGGATAAAGCTCGGTCTAAAACGAGGGTGAACCTTCTGTTGGCTTTTACCCGTGGAAGTGGAGATGGTCTGCTTCCTGTTGGACAGGCAGGTGACAAACACCAGCGGTTAGCTTGTGTGCTAGCTTGAGTTAGCTTGCAGTGTAGCTACAAGCAGTAAACGTACACACGTACACACTACGTCCTGCAGGGGGCGATGAGCCCAGGAGGAGGGGCCCAGTTAGAATGCTGTGTTTACAAGCTGCAGCCAACATTTCTACCGACTCCATCTTTAAGAATAAATATTTATTTGGGCAGCTTTAATTTAAATTCCTTTGCTAATTGTTTAGCACTAAAACACCAGGTCAGATTCCTTGTATGTGTAAATGTAGCCTACTTGGCAATAAAGTGATTCTGATAGTGAAAACAAAAGAGACACAAACTCTGTGTTCTGAAGTTCATTATGTTTTATTATCACTGTTCAATTATCATTTATGCTTCAAAAGGCAGCAACAGTTTAAGTGAAAAAAGCCAACTAGATATATTTTTCACAAAGCTTCAGATTCAGAAGGGAGAGATGGCTGTGGCTCAGTGGTAGAGTCGGTCGTCTCTCAACAGGAAGGTCGAGTGTTTGATCCCCAGCTCCTGCAGCCACATGTCCGATGTGTCCTTGGGAAAGACACTTAAATCCAAGTTGCTTCCGCTGCTTCATTGGCGGCATATGAATGTGTAAAAGTGCTTTTAGTAGTCAGAAGACTAGAAAATAAATAAAGAAGCTCAAGTCTATTTACTGTTTAGTGTGATTTTACAAATGTTTGTAATGTGAAATTCATGCAAAATAATGGTGATAATGGTGAAACCGGGATTATTCCTCAGACTATAACTGGAATGTCAGACAAGAATCCAGCAGTAGACCTCCATAAGTGACCTCAGAAACCTGACTCATTGAGCGACCATTGATCTTAACATCTCATGCAGTTGATGCGCGATGTCGACCAGAAGAAAAATGTAAAAACACCGTTTTTTTAACCATTAGAGTCAAACACAAATTCTGGAGCCAACGCGTAGTGATTTGATAATTAGTGTGAAAGGACACTTGCTGTTCACACATGCAGCTCAGCCTGATGAGGTCAGGAAGTTTTAGGAGTGCAGGGCATGTTTTAAAGAGGATATTACTCTAATACATGTTACATATGATCAAGTTCTGGTTTGTACTTTTTGTAAGAAATAGAATCAAAATAATCATCACATGAGAAGAATAACTGCAGCATTTCTTGGTAGAGTTTGATCCCTTAACATTTCTACTAGCTGTTTCATGTTTGACCTTCCACTCCTGTAATGTGTGGAGAACAAATTCATTAGAAATATAACTGAAATTAACTCTGATGTGATTCCTCTGTCAGTCCCTGATGGATGAAGCTCTCCTCAGCTTGCAGCGCTTTTCCACCCACAAGATGGTGGAGGTTCATCCTCTGTGGATCATCAGGACACAGCTGCTCCTCTCTGCACCACCAGCGTCCTGATGGCTCACATTCTGTCAGAGATCATCACCAGCTAATGAGAGAAGAAGACAGATCACAGAAATCATTTTCTACACAGACCCCCGTCATCAGCTGTAAGTCATCAGATTCCCCCACAGCGCTGTAACTAAGCTCCGCCCTCACTCCACCTTTGTACTTTAACACTGAAGCCGTAGTTTGGACATTAATACTCTCTGATGTTTCTTTTTTCTGCCAGTTGTCCTTCCTGCATTTGTTCCTGCAGCTGTGTAACTTTAGTCTTAGGGAGCCTGTTTGTCTTAAACTTCTTCATGTTATTAATATAGTTTGTTCAGAGTTTGTTAGATATGACGATCTGCTGACAGCAGACTGTGATGATTGTGATAGGTCATGAAGCTAACTCTGCCCCTTTTCTGTGAACGTGCTCTCTGAAACTCCGGGTTTATGAATTGCCCCCCGGGGACAAATAAAGTTTTTTGAATTGAATTGAATTGAATTGAATTTATTTATCAGGTTGATAACCAGCTTCATGTGACTGTTCAGCACGATCTCTTATGTCAGAGTTAGTGAAGCCAAATAACAGAAAAATAAACCCTGGGTATGTTTAACTGTCTTCGTAGTATAGACCCCAGAAAATGATTTCTCCGACCAAAAACAAGAATCTAAATTCTATTTATGACCTGATATTTGGAGTGTTTACTAAAGAACACTGAGAGACTGACCTCAGAGTCTCCAGTCGATAGTTTGGATTTTTCTCAAGATCTTTCAGCAGCTTCACATCTGAATCCTGCAGCACGTTCGAGGTCAGGTCCAGCTGTTTGAGATGGGAGGGGTTGGACTTCAGAGCTGAGGCCAGAGAAGAACAGCTGATCTCTGACAAACTGCAGTTCATCAATCTGAATAAACAATAAAAAAAGAATAAAAATAATGTATAATCCACTCACATGTGTTCAGGTCAACATCACTTTGTCCTGATGAATAAAGTTTTCTCTAAATGATTAGAGGATCATTTCTGATTGTGTATTCACTAAAGCTAAATCCTCCAAATGTCAGCACAACATTCATACAGCTGTTCATGTGCACAGATGAAGAACAGGCTGCTGATCTCAGTCAGCTCTGTGATGTTAGTACATTTATCAAATCAGACATTATTGAATCAAAAGTCTTCATGATTTCACTTCTTAACAGAACCAGAGGAAACCAGAGGCTTCATGTGCATGTTGTTCAACTTCACATAGGCAGAAAAACATTTTCACATCAAATCTTTTAAATTATTCAGCAGCTTGAAAAAAAAAAATCTTCTAAATGATTACATTTCCCAAGATTTAAATTCAGACAAATACAGAAAATATATAATTCCTGAAATGTGCAACAATGGAGGATGTGGATTGATATGATAGAAATGAATGACACAGTTAGTGATCTGACCTCAGAGTCTCCAGTCTGCAGTTTGGACTCTGCAGATAATCACACAGCAGCTTCACTCCTAAATCCTGCAGCTTCACGTTTCTGCTCAGGTCCAGCTCTCTGAGATGGGAGGGGTTGGACTTCAGAGCTGAGGCCAGAGAAGAACAGCTGATCTCTGACAACCTGGAGCGAATCAATCTGAATAAAGAATAAAATAAGAATAAAAATTATGTATAATGCACTCACATGTGTTCAGGTTGTGATGAGTATCTCAACATCACTTTGTCCTGATGAATAAAGTTTTCTCTAAATGATTAGAGGATCATTTCTGATTGTGTATTCGCTAAATCTAAATCCTTCACATGTCAGCACAACATTCATACAGCTGTTCATGTGCACAGATGAAGAACAGGCTGCTGATCTCAGTCAGCTCTGTGATGTTAGTACATTTATCAAATCAGACATTATTTAATCAAAAGTCTTCATGATTTCACTTCTTAACAGAACCAGAGGAAACCAGAGGCTTCATGTGCACATTGTTCAACTTCACATAGGCAGAAAAACATTTTCACATCAAATCTTTTAAATTATTCAGCAGCTTGAAAAAAAAAAAAGAAACTTCTAAATGATTACATTTCCCAAGATTTAAATTCAGACAAATACAGAAAATATATAATTCCTGAAATGTGCAACAATGGAGGATGTGGATTGATATGATAAAAATGAATGACACAGTCAGTGATCTGACCTCAGAGTCTCCAGTCTGCAGTTTGTACTCTGCAGATAATCACACAGCAGCTTCACTCCTGAATCCTGCAGCTTGTTGTCACCCAGGTCCAGCTCTCTGAGATGGAAGGGGTTGGACTTCAGAGCTGAGGCCAGAGAAGAACAGCTGATCTCTGACAAACTGCAGCTGAACAAACTGAATAAAGAATAAAAGATGTAAATGTAGATGACAGTGAGCTTTATGCATGAATGTGTGATGTTGTCCACATGAACACACTGATGTGATCATCATCTGTTCATTCCAACATTTAAGGACTTGATTGTGATTCATTCATGTTTTTGTTCTTCCTGATCATTCTTAGATTCAAACACTCAAAGCTCCTTTGAGGAACTTTAATTGGGACGGCTGTGGCTCAGTTGGTAGAGTCATTGCCTTTCTGCCAAAAGTTGAGGGTTCAATCCCCAGCTGGGCAACATGTCCAATGTGTCCTTGGTCTGAACTTAACTTAACTCCACATTGGTCCTGCTGCTTCAGTGGCAGTGTATGAATGGATTAGTGTTGTACTTACTCTCTGATGTATGTCGCTTTGGATAAAAGCATCTACTAAGTGAGTTGTAATTGCGTGTCCATTTTGGCGACCCCTCTGGTCAAAGTGAAACCTCTTTACTGATCTTGTCCTGTACAGTATTCCTTAACAAAAACTGTTTTTCCCACTTTGAACTCTACAAACTACAAGTCAGTGTGACTCTCTTCTGTAGAGAATGTAAATAAAGGCTTTTCCAGACAGCGTCCTGTGATTCTCCTCATGTGACAGCGACCAGGTGGAAACAGGCAGACTTTCAAAAGGACTTTATAATGTTGTTGGTCTCAATGACTTTAGCCAATCACCAAGAGAAATCCAGATTACTTTCAGTCTGTTCCATCAGCAGATCAAACCTCCTCACAGTACGTTTCAAATCACAGAGTTTGTTTTTATATATGATCATAAAAACATGAACAGTATGAAAAAGAGGAAGAATTTATACAATTAATTTCACATTTTTTACTATAAAGCAGATGATTTCCACTGGATTCTGGTTCCTGTTCGGCGACCAGGGCACTGGTCCATATGTGTTTGTGACATGTATTTACTTGTCATTATAGGTCGACACTTTTACAAAACGTGATCAGTATCAGTGCTTGAAGTATTTAGGCTCAAAGTGTGTATGCGTGTTCTGTTTATTGTGGTAACTATTTTACAGATAATGAAGCCACAATACAGATAAATCTTTTGTTTAGATTCTATTAATGGTGCTGGCTTCCATGATGAACAGTAAATGGAAACATTAAGGTTATTATGACAAAAGATGTGTTCAGTTCAATGTTCTGTTCTTTATTACTTTGTGATGGAGTCAGCTTTTGATATCCATTGAAGTAGACCACAGAGGGATCCATTTGATTCATCCTTGTTGCCTTTTTAATTAAATACGTGTCTTGTTTGTGTAGTTTGACATGAGTCATTTAAGGAAATGGTGGAGCATATATTCACTGACAACTTCACTGTGCCATAAGAGTGATAAGTTCTGTTGGTTAACAATATCACCATCAAAAAAAGGCTGAGAGAAAGAGAGGACTTTCCCAGGTTAACTTATCATGGAGAGTGTTTCGAACTCGTGCCGAAGAAAAAAATATTGTTTCACATCCTATCGACCTAAGCTTTCATTTCTGCTGAAATGTATAAATACCCAAACATAGAGGTCATGGACCCTTGCATACTTGTTATATTTTAGGATTATCAAGGCAAAATAATTAAAGTGTCCGAGGAAATGGCGTACAGTTTGTTGCCTTACCTCTTCATTGTTAAGTTTGCAATAATGGATTATTATCTGTATTTATTTTCCTAAATAAAGCATGACCTTTGAAAAAACTGTGTTCTGATAACAATAATTATTTCATAATAATGAACTAAACAACTAAACAAAAAATTTCAAAATGAATAAACTAGTAAAAGTTGTGGGTGACGGGGTGGCATCGGACATCTGACCCCGCCTCTTTCCACGATCGCAGTGAGGGGTTATTGAATCACTCAGCAATTAAAAAAAAAAAAAATCTACTAAATAATTAAATTTCCCAAGATTTAAATTCAGGCAAATACTGAAAATATATAAATCCTGAAATGTGCAACAATGGAGGATGTGGATTGAAATGATAGAAATGAATGACACAGTCAGTGATCTGACCTCAGAGTCTCCAGTCTGCAGTTTGGACTCTGCAGATAATCACACAGCAGCTTCACTCCTGAATCCTGCAGCTTGTTGTTGTAGCTCAGGTCCAGCTGTCTGAGATGGGAGGGGTTGGACTTCAGAGCTGAGACCAGAGAAGAACAGCTGATCTCTGACAAACTGCAGTCCCTCAATCTGAATAAAGAATAAAAGATGTAAATGTAGATGACAGTGAGCTTTATGCATGAATGTGTGATGTTGTCCACATGAACACACTGATGTGATCATCATCTGTTCATTCCAACATTTAAGGACTTGATTGTGATTCATTCATGTTTTTGTTCTTCCTGATCATTCTTAGATTCAAACAATCAAAGCTCCTTTGAGGAACTTTAATTGCGTGTCCGTTTTGGCGCCCCCTGTGGACAAAGTGAAACTTCTTTACAAACTCTGACAAACTGCACTCCCTCAATCTGAATAAAGAATAAGAGAATAAAAATAATGTATAATCCACTCACATGTGTTCAGGTTGTGAGGAGTATCTCAACATCACTTTGTCCTGATGAATAAAGTTTTCTCTAAATGATTAGAGGATCATTTCTGATTGTCTATCCACTAAATCTAAATCCTCCACATGTCAGCACAACATTCATACAGCTGTTCATGTACACAGATGAAGAACAGGCTGCTGATCTCAGTCAGCTCTGTGATGTTAGTACATTTATCAAATCAGACATTATTGAATCCAAAGTCTTCATGATTTCACTTCTTAACAGAACCAGAGGAAACCAGAGGCTTCATGTGCACGTTGTTCTTAATCTTCATGAAGAGTTTGAAACTTTTCTCCACATTATCAGAAATCTCTGCATGAAGATGATTCCTAAATCTGGAATACTTTGACAGGATATAGAAATGTTTTAAAAACTCAATCTAAACTTGTTCTAAATGATAAACTCTCTGACTGACCTTTCTCCTTTGTGTTTATTTTTGAACTCTTCAAGCAGAAAACTATCCCATCATATATTTCAAATCTGTCTGTATTTGTGTAATTGTAAGTGTGTCTGTTAAAGGTCCCACATTATGCTTTTTCTGGTTTTATTTGCTCTTTAGTGTGTTTTCCAAGTGTCCTGTGCATGTTTAGGCACATCTATGTGCAAAAATTCAAAGTCCTCGGAAACGCGGCTTCTCCTACGTCCTCCTGTTAGCTGTAGCATTAGCCGCATGTAACGCTCGGTTCTAGCCCCCTCGATAAGAATTTGTCAGTCCGACGTCATTGTCAGTGTGAGATCACTGATCTAAGCCCATTGGCTCGTTGTGGCAAGCCCTGCAGCTCATGTTGAAATTTCCGAGACGCGTGCTGAGCAACTGACCAATAACGACAGAGCGGATCGGCAGACCAATCAGAGCAGACTTGGCCCACGTGGGGTCTAACAGTGTGGGCTCAGCAGAGTGTAGCTGACGGACTCAGAGCGTAGAGGGAGCAAGGAGGAGCAGTTCATGAAAACAGACACTTTTTTCAAACTTTATCTATTGTGAACGTACAAAAGTTGGTACATAGATTATATATATACGAACCCCAAAAAGGGCAGAATATGGGTTCTTTAAGTAATGCTGTTTTGGATGTTTGAGTATTACTTTATATTTGTGTTAGGACGCCCCTTAAAGATGAGACGATGCATCTCAAGCTGCTGAGCTTTAATACATTCAAACACAGTTTCTATTACAGACATATATATATTGCAGTCAGTGATCTGACCTCAGAGTCTCCAGTCTGCAGTTTGGACTCTGCAGTCCCTCACACAGCTTCACTCCTGAATCCTGTAGCTTGTTGTTGTAGCTCAGATCCAGCTCTCTGAGAAGGGAGGGGTTGGACTTCAGAGCTGAGGCCACGACGTCACAGTGAGTCTCTGAGAGTCCACAGTAACAAAGTCTGTTGTGACACATATAATAGAGAATTATGACTCATAAAAGAAGCGTTTGATATATACGTCTCATATTTGATGATTAAACAGTTTGTCATGTCCTGTTTGGTCTTAACTTTACACATCAGTGGAATCTGTCACTGACACAAAAAGTCTCATCACTCGTTTTCAAACCTGCACATTTTTCATCTTTCAATCATTCACTAAATGTTGCAGATGAAAGGAAACAAATGTAGTTTTATTTAGGGTTACATCATGTCTATAGTCTGTGATCTAAAGTGTGATCTATTCAGAGGACTCTCTCTGGATTAGAAAACCATTTGAAACTCATTGAACAGTAACTCTGGAGGAGGAGG